AGAAAGCCTTTGATTCCGTCGAAATTTGGGCGGTGCTGCAGTCCCTTCAGCGGTGCCAAGTTGACTGTCGGTATGTCGAAGTGCTGAAGTGCTTGTACAGTAGGGCTACGATGGCTATCCGAGTACAGAACCAGAGTACGAAACCTATCCAATTGCAGAGAGGTGTAAGACAGGGTGACGTCATATCCCCGAAACTCTTCACCGCTGCATTGGAAGACGTTTTCAAGCTTCTGGCCTGGAAAGGATACGGTATTAACATCAATGGCGAGTACATCACTCACTTTCGATTTGCCGACGATATAGTCCTTATGGCAGAATCGCTGGAGGACCTAAGCACTATGCTCAATAACCTCAATAGTGTTTCCCAACGGATAGGTCTTAAGATGAACATGGACAAAAAAATCATGTTTAATGTCCATGTCACACCTATGCCGGTAGTTGTTGGGAGCACTAAGCTCGAAGTTGTTGACGAGTATGTTTACCTGGGACAAATAGTCCGACTAGGTAAGTCCAACTTCGACCGAGAGGTCAATCGACGGATTCAACTCGGTTGGGCAGCGTTTGGGAATTTACGGCACATCTTCTCGTCAGGTATACCTCAAAACTTGAAAACGAAACTGTACAACCAGTGAGTGTTGCCAGTGATGACCTATGGAACTGCGACGTGGTCCTTCACTGCTGGCCGGATGAGGAAGCTCAAGGTCGTTCAGCGAGCTATGGAGAGGGCTATGCTCGGAGTTTCTCTGCGTGATAAACTTAGGAATGAGGATATCCGCAGTAGAACCAGAGTGACCGACATAGTCCAACGGATTAGTAAGCTGAAATGGCAATGGGCCTGCCATATAGCTCGAAGAACCGACAACCGATAGGGAAGAAAGGTTTTCGAGTGGCGGCCTCGTACCGGCGGACAAAGTGTAGGGTAGGGCGTCCCCCCACTAGATGGAGTGATGACCTGGTAAGATATGCTGGAGGTCGATGGATGCAGGTGGCTCAGGACCGTGCTTTGTGGTATTCCTTGCGGGAGGCCTATGTTCAGCGGTGGACTTGTGAAGGACTGTAATGATGATGAAGATGAAGAATAAAAACGCAGATGCGTTGTCACCCCTGAGGACCGAGATGAAATGCCTCGTTTACCGTAAAAAGGATCTCCGGTTCACTACACTTACCATACAAAAGTGTCCCCGGTCAAGCCGACCAATTCGTGCTACAACCATAATATAGCGGCAGCCTGGCTCTACGATGTAAAAACTGCAGCCAATCTGCAACCAACTTTAAACAAAGAAGGTTACAGATGCTTTGTGCATGCCTACACGCTGCACGCATGTGGACTGCCTCAAAATCTGTAATTATACTGTATCCTACAGACCGAAACACAGCAGTGCTGGTACTGCTGGCAAAAAGAAATAAAAGCATAGTACTTACGCAGATGGACACCTGGGCAAAAAGAAGTCCCACCACTTAGAAAGTTTAGTTATGAATTATTAAGTCTATCTGAATCAAAGCCTACCAAAAATTCTTAGGTGGCAAATCGTAACGAAGTGATTAGTAAGTATTGTGCTCTTGGCTGACTTAGACCACGAAGGCAATTCTGAATACTGTCAGAAGTTATCAACTATGCAGAAAATGTTGTAGTGGCATAAATTCATGTATTCACACAGAGACAGTCAACTGTCTTGTGCACGATGTAACGAACAGGAATAGAAAGGCAATCGCGGTTTTGACGTTTATCTTAATAATTCTGAGAAATATTAATTGTTTCTATCAAAACATCAATTGAATCGTTAGTGGACAAAGAAACTTGATAATGTAATTAGATCATGTTTACTATTAAATGAAGGACAAAAACAAGCTGATTGAAAAGGGCGTTTCTTCAATCAACAAAATGTAACTAGACTTCTCGGCGTCTGAACTTATGATAACATCTGTAGATAAAGTTTTTATTGTTTTTTTTCTTTAATGTGAGTTTAAAAATTAATGGATAAATTACACATGGAATAATTTAAAATTAAAAATTTTGTACAGCCGACTTCAATATAAGTTATTTAAGAATAACTTAAAAACTATTGGTCTGACCTTGATCAAATTCATATGGGACCACACGAGAAGTACCAGCTTTCAAATAAAAAAAGAATCATCGAAATCGGTTCACCCAGAAAAAAGTTCTGAGGTAACACACATAAAAAAAAAACGAAAAAAAAAACATACAGTCGAATTGAGTACCGGCTCCTTTTTGGAAGTCGGCAGAAAAAGGCACAGGCACACAGTAAACACAGTAGTAAGCACAGGCGCAGAGCCAGAGTTAACAATCTAACAGATTGTTACTCGTAACTCTGGCTAACATAGTGTTCCATTGGTAAGTTATCTAAAATTAAGTTCACATTTATACAAAGACAAACTTGAATAAGTACTTTAATTTTTACATAGGAATCTTAATAATTTAGGCTAGCTATTTTATCAACCAAAGGCTAAGTTAGTCATTACGCCAAGAATAGCAGCCAATATCTAGAAGGCACTATTATACCACGAGGAGTACGGTTATATATTTTAATATTTTTTGTTGCTGAAAATAATATGTTTTAATAGATTAATGTATTTTATATCAACTTAAAAGTTTTGATTGTCTTCCATGACTAGTCATGCTTTACCGTTCGGAAATACAAATATGTTTTCCGCAAATTTAGCTGATAATTATTTTTTATAATCGATTGAAATTTCAATTCTTTTTCAGTACTCATATGTCAGCATAGTATATAGTAAGGACGAAATCCGAGGGTGGGTTTTCATAGCGTGTTATTTTTAGAACCTCTGCGACAGATCTAGTACAACCAGCTAAATGTAACATTTTGAAAACATGGAAGAGTCTATCATAGGTGATTTTATTTTTACGGCTTCTTTTGGTTCTGCGGTTTTATTTGTTAACGTTACCCACTTAATGGTTTTTGAGGCCATAGGGTACTCTTACTGTCATTTAGAGTACTTATAAAGTTGTAGGTACCAAAAGTACAGTGTACTTTTGTCAAAGACTATTTGTCTTTCAACCATGTCCTATAAGCAAAGAATAGATTTCCTTATCGCTTCTTGTGTGGGATCACCTTTTGTTTTGTGTTTTTTTTTTAAATATAAAACTGGAGTAAAGGCTGTTTTCCAATTCACACAAATCAGCAAACCATTTTCTACTTTATAACCCTTTTAAAAATGAGATTTCAATCAGAAATTCAGTGGGAGGTAGGAATGATGTTGCACAACACATATTAAATTTATGGGATAGTGACCCCATCTCACAGAGCTTGCCGTAAGAGGCCATTTAGGGAAATGTTGGGAAAATCTTGTGCCCTTCCGAAAGATGGCGTTGTATCGTTATGTATCGGATCGCCATCTTGTATTTATTAGAGATATTAAACTATCGTGGTAGAGTCAGCTATATTATGGTTCTAACACGAATTGGTCGGCTGGACTGGGGAAGGACCATGCTCTCATAGAATACCAGCGTAAAATAGCAGCTAAATGCTACATTGTTTCGTATGGTGAGTTGAGAGAACCGGGACCTTTTTTACTGGGAATGAGGCATTCCATCTCAGTCTTCAGTGGTAGCAAATGGATGTAGATGTCTATGGGCCACAGTATTCACTTACCATCAAGTGGACTGTGTGCTCGTTTGTCACTCTTACTCTATAAAAAAAATCCAAACCAGTGACAAGAAAAAGTCTTAGAAGTGGAATATCTGGCACTACAATCGCAATGTAATTCTTGCAATGATTTCGCCTGAGTAGGTACGACAATTTTACATATTTCTGTTACCAAGCAGCTGTGCATCACCTGCTCTGTTTCAATCTGATTGGTGTGGAGAGCAATTTTAATTACTTTTTGCAATATTCTATTTAGTGTGTAGATGTGTTCGAAGTTGGTTGCACGTGCTCATGAGCTATAATGGCCGCTTAATATGAGATGGCTTGACGGCTTGTTTCTCATTTAAATATTATTAAAAACATTATAAAAGTTAAAAGTTATAAGAAGCAAGGCACATTCATTTTAGACATTGCTTCGACATCAAAATATTTTAGAATAGTTAATAGTTGTAAAACTTAAATAAAACAACTATAGTCTCTCAAACTTTATTGAACAAAATTCTATTTGAAGACATTATATACCTAAACTGGCGATAAAAGATACATTAGAAGTGTACTTTGTACAATAAATAATATTTACTAATTCTATTTCTTAATACTACTGGTTGTAGAGAGATGCTAAAATAATTATATAAATTTCATTATGGATATTTTACGCATAATAATTCAGGTAAGGAATTTCTATAATAAAATATACTGATAATTTTTTTAATACGATTTGTCTTTGAAACTGAATATTTCTTAATATTGTTATTTATTTATCGTCCTTGATTACTTCTTGTGAGTTAAATGAAAACGTACAGTACCTTTTCATGACCTCCAATATTTATCAATTTAATCTAATATTAAACAGATATGATGATCAGGGATTGCTAGATAAAAATAAGATTATTACACGATTATTGTATCCACAACAAGAAATCTTTGCACTGTAAGTGACAAGTACATATTTTAGTAGAAAGAATATTGAAATTTTCGGCAAGTTTTTGTAATGTATTTTAAATTTGTTAGTAACATTAAATACTTTAAATGATGACATGGCCTTGATTCACGATTTTAAATATTTCCGTTGATTGTATTTAACCCAATTTAATACGTTAATACAGTTATAAACATCCCTAATTGATTTAAAGATTGTGCGTTTTAAAACAAAGGCAACGAAACCCGCAATTTTTTGTGTTGACACTATATAAATGTGTATAATTATATTTTCCTAAAATGAAATACGCATCTAGGAGATCTTATAACCTGAATCACAAGGTGACACTAATGAATAAATAAACATTATGAAATTTTCTATGGAATCAATTTCTTAAAATCAGAAAGAAAGTTTCTAAGAAGTGCTGAGCAGATCTTGATTGTTTACTGTTTCTATCAGCATTCTCCGAGGCTTGTGATTGCGTAGTCTGCAAATATAAAAAGTTCACATTAAAAATACTATAATCAAGAATTTGTCATTTGTTTTTTCGCTGAGCAAATATTATGGTTATTTGTGTGAATAAGTTATGATACAAAAATTTTCGAAATTAATACATGAATATCATGCAATTTACTCCTACATGTAACATCTACATTTAGAAAAAATATTTTACAACGCACTCAAGTCTAATAAAACCTGTTTGTTCAACACCTCAGCCTAATCACAGTGTCTAGACTAGTCAATTTTTTAAAATTTATGGTTATTTTATTACTAGGTTGCAATATGCGCACGCGATTTGACATATTATAGAGAAACTGTTGATTAACTCTCTTCACCCGTTACTTTTTGATACCACGAAATATTTAGTACATCTATAAAAACAAAGACCTCCTTTTCTCAAGCTAATTATAGTTTGTAATAATGAACAAGAAGCGTAAGGAGCATATTTTAAGATAAATTGTAATTTGTATTCATATTATCGCAAACTGCCTCATTTGTAAGAGGATAAATTAGAAGGAAGTTAATTATGGAATTTTATCAATGTAGTTTACAACTAAGAGTTATTTATAAATTTATCAGATATTTGTTGTATTTTAGGAGTTATCATTTGAGTATTGAAGAATTACTTTATTGATACAAGAAGGCATGCGTAATTTATGTGTTGTTTTATATGTTTCTTACTATTATAATGTGTTTATTTGGTACGTAATTACTCCGAAATTTGGGTAGATATATTTCTTAGAAAATATGTGTGACTAGGTTTATTAAAATTAATTGAACTTAAAGTGGCGTCATAGGATACTATTACTACTAAGTTAAGTATAAGTTACCTTAAAACAGAAAACCGATCAAAATTTGATGTGTGGTCACGCTGGAGCTATATTATATTTGTTACATGAATGGGATAGCTCTAAGGGGGAAGAACCATGGTCTTACAGAATAGCAGCAGAACATAGCAGCTTTATTCTGCTGTATTTCGTATGGTGATTGTAGAGAACCGGAGCCCCTTCTTTTACTGGAAACGAAGCATTCAATCTTCGTCCTCAAGAGCGATAATACATCTTCATTTTTAATCTTACTCCTACTCCTCAGGGATGACAAGGCATCTGCATTTTGATTCTTTATCGAGGATAGATGTAGATGTCTATAGGCTACAGTACCCATTTGCTATCAGGTGGACTGTGTGCCCATTAGTCACTTCTTATTCTTTAAAAATATATAATATCATTTTGTGTTTTGTAATGTGATGTTACCTTAGGCGTTACAGCCTACCCTAGTTGCCACGCTTGACGGGTGGGTTGGCAACTGTAGTTTATTTTTTATTCTCTAGTTGTTATTGGTAAGACGCTGCTGCCCATCTCCTAGTTTGTTGTCGCCTGTCGTCGCTTATGACATCCACGGGACGATATGGGCTAGTAGATATTTTTATACCGCCACGACACGGTCAATACTGTGGTCATGGCCATGATCGTCTAGTAGTTATCTTGTTGTGTTCTGTGTTGTATAGTGGTTGTCTACTGGTTGGTGGTGGTAGTTGACACCATCACAAACTTCAAAGTTACTATCACATATTTTGTCGTTTGATACAATATCAGAATTTGAAAGTTTAAATTATATCCACGTTTGTACTAAAACAAAACTTTTTGTTAAACAAATTAAAGATTATTAAATTAATTTGCAATGATAAGAAGCTTTCTTAGCGGGCAGCTACCGTAGAGTATACTTCAACTGAGGATGTTTCGTGTAGAGCTGAAATACGTGTTATCGGATTATCGACGGTGGTGTGTATTTCCTAGTGTAGTGGGATGAGTAGTGACGTGGATAGTGCACGCAATTAAGGGTGGCGGGAGGTACTCTTCAAACTGGGTGTCTTATCATTTTATTTTACGCGGATCGGAAATTTTAAGATGGATTATAAAATTTAATGGATTCCCGCAAAGTAACGCCTGATTCTAAATAATTATTTTTGATATAAGTTGTTTATTAAATTGTTTTACTATTCTATATTTATGCAAGAAAATTTATCAAAAACGAACTTTACAAGATTAAGTTTTGCTTGTCTATATTATAAGTTCTTTAGAATTGTGAATCGATTAAATATATGACACAATATCAATATAATAGCTTACATCAATTATGCGATTCATAGAAACTGCTTGAACCGGGAAAAGTAAACTTGGTTCTTTTGCAAATTGAGTCATTTGTACAAGCGGTGATTACCTTGACTCATTCACTGGTTGACTACAATTATAATTATGATTGTAAAGTCTACAATGTAAATCACTGGGGGAAATATCACGGTTCTTTTTTACTGACATCATTTTGACGGATTTAAAAAGTAATTATTTATTTCCTTCACCATTAGGAATTTAAAATTGACTAGGAAATTCTTAAGAATGCATCACATATATTCATAACTAGCAGAACAGATACCCGTGACTTCGTCCGCGTTGCTTACATACATAACTGAACACGTAGTGCTTATAAAAAAACCGGCAAAGTGCGAGTCGAACTCTCGCACTGAGGGTTCCGAACAAATCCGTAGGTATATAAGTTTAAAATAATTAAAAATATTTTTATTATATGATGTAACTAAAAATTTATGCTTTTCGCAATTTTTCCTTTATCTGTGCTACGTATTATATACGTTGCTTCGTACCAAATTTTAAGATTCTGAGTTCACGGGAAGTACCCTGTAGGTTTTGATTCCCTTGCGAATGTCGAAAATTTGCGGCATAAACAGCTGTATCTTTTGATTGCGTTGGCTTATAAGTTTAATTTTTTCACAGCTCCAAGGGACAGTAGACTTGAGTGTTTGATATGAATTTTAGCTTGATACCTCCACGCGTTCCTGAGAAAAAGGGTCTTGACAGACAGACAGACAGACGTACAACAAAGTGATCCTATAAGGGTTCAGTTTTTTCCTTTTGAGGCACGGAACCCTAAAAACGTTGTTTCTTAAAACTTTAATAAGTTCATATTAAATTAAGATATTTTTTTTTAGATAAGGGCAAAGTGTCTAAGTAATAAAACTTAGAAAACCTTATTAAAATATATCCAGTAGTTTTTCCGTCATGCGCGCACAGCAGCAAACCTCTATCATTTTATTTATATAGATGAAGAAAATAAAATGAAACCAGGAAGAAAGTATAGTATATAGTAAGTAGATGTTAATTCGTCACATTTTTACGTGATAGAGTATGTGCCATGCTGCAGCTATACATAGTAGGAAGAATGGGTTGGCAGGACTATGCTCTCACGAACACCAGCAATGAGTGAAATAGCAGAATAGTGCTGCTGATCCGTACGGTGAGTGTAGGGTCCTGGAGAGCCTTTTTACTGGTATCAAGGCATACCATCTTAGTCCTCAGGGGTGACAATGCATCTGCATTTTATAAATGTAGATGTCTATAAGCTATAGCATCCATTTACCATCAGGTCGACTATGTGCTCGTTTGTTTCCTTATTCCATAAAAAAAATGTCGCTGTTTGGCTACTTACATGTGCTTTCGCGACACGAGACAGCCTCTAGCTCGCATAAGGTGGCAAATGTCCGGGCAGTGCCGGTTGCATCAAAGGCGCACACAGGACCGGCGGGTGGTGCGGCACATCTTCCAGCACAGAGGGGTGGAGGCACTCCCTCTCTCACTCGAGATCGCATCAGCTCGATGGGAATTCGCATTTCAATACCTTCCTCTTCAACACCGTTTATGTCACCTATACGCGAAGGTCTGAGGAACGGTAAACTGGCCGAATGTGTCTCCTGCCACACTGAAATAGACGAGAGCACTTTTAAACAAATATCAGTAACAATGTTACATTATTAGAGTATATTACTGAATAAAGGATTATCATTTATGATATTTAATGAATGTGTCAGCGCGTTTATAAAATACCGGTTGGATCGAGAGCGAGTGAGAGGTTGCGTCACTCTAGCGGAGTGTCATATTGATGGTGGCAGGATAGAATATTAAGTAGGTAGGAATTGACATAAATATTGCAAAAATATTTGATTTTCAATACTTTTCTCTCAAAAAGTACATGTTTCCGCATATTGAAACTTTGTGTGTGTGCTTATAATAGTGTAACTTTTCTGTAAAAATGCGTATCAATACCCAACTCGACGGACGTCAATGGAAAGCTAAGCTAATTATATGGTACTTTAGGTTTTAAAATGTAGAATTTAGCCAGTACAGCTCGTAATTTGTCACCGACAGAATCTATGTGAAATCTACAGCTAAATCTATTATTTACAATTAATCCTAAGTAAGTGAGATGCGTTACTTGTTCGATTGCCTCACATTTACAAGTGTTAGATGAAGTTGATTAGTGCAGACATCTGTGACTGTGAACAACCACCTTAAAATACATGTTGTGTTTTAAATAGTTTGAATGAACTTGAATGATTTTGGTTTTATTTGCATTTAAGACAAGTCCCGCATCAGGTGACCATTTGGATACCTGCGTAAAATATTGCTGCAACCATTGCGCTACTTCTTTTGGATCCTTGCTGGTAGCCAAAAGGCACATGTCATCCAGGTATTAATAAACTGAACAATGGTTGACAATGCTCCATATCGTTAACATATGCTAAATAGTGCAAGGGTCCAAGCACCGAGTCTTGAGCTGTTCCTTCAGTAACATCAATAGCATCACTAACTTCATCGCAGATTTTAACTTTATATTTACGATTATTGAGGTAGTCTTTGTACCACTCTAAAATCGGGCGATGTATACCGGTATTCTCTAATTTTGTCAAGAGCGTATCGTGTCGAAGCGTATCAAACCTTTTGCTGAAATATATGAATAGCAAGATTACGTGATTTCTGTCATCTAGAAATTTGTTTACATCATTTGTAAATTTCGATAGCAGCTTGGAGTTAGAATTGTTAGGTTGGAAACCATATTGTGAGTTTGATAGGATGTCACTTTTAATGTAAAAGTCTTGTATCTGACTACAGACGTATTTTTCTACTATCTTGTCAATGACTGGTAGAATAGTAATTGGTCTGTAATTGGCATAATCACTGTGACTGCCTTTTTTATAAATCGGTTTAACAATACCTATTTTTAATTCAGCTGGGAACTTTGCTTGATGTATACTATTATTTATTAATTTGACAATAACTCCTATCATCTTATCACAGATAGATTGTATGTCGACACATCGGATATTATCCATACCAGGAGCTTTATTGGTTTTATGGTTTTTTACATCCTTCATCAGACTTTTGGTTGAGGCTTTTTTGAAATACATATATTTATTTTCAGGGAACACATATTCTAATTCATCTAGAAGCCGTTGGTTACATTTCGGTAAGATTTTTTTAACACAATTTCTAAATTCTGTAGCAAAGTTATTAGCTATTGATTTTATGTCAATATTGTTCTTATTAAATGCATTTAATATTGCCTCATCATGTTCATTAATGTAACCATCATTTGCAGCTCGGCCGCCAACGACACAAATATGACTTGATCATCGGCGTACAAATGGCATTTGACAGTTAACTGGGTGAGTTAACCGTCAAATTCCTCTTAACCCATATTCTTCAACTTTTAAAGCTTCCAAACAACTATCCATAAATAGGTTGAACAGCCACGGGGAAGTTACACAGCCTTTTCTGATATCTTTGTGGATGCTAAACCAGTCCAGGAAACCCCGTTGATCCTGACACAAGCACTAGAGTCCCTTTAAAGAGATTTTAATGCTTGTATCAACCCAGCGTTCAACCGAAATGAGTTCAGTGTTTGTCATAAGACATCCCATCTACTCTGTCATAAGCCTTTTCCAAGTCTATAAACGTACATAAAAACTTTTAGGATTTTGGTCAAAAATTTCTCCGCAGTCATGCGCATGGAAAAAACTCGATCCGTACACCCCGTTCCTTCTTTTTTCTTTCTTTTTAAATTCCCTTTGTAAATCCAGCTTGCACACCCCAAATTACTTCATCAGGTTCTTTCATAACTCTTTCAATTAGCATCTTTGCATACAGCTTTCTCACAATGCTAAGAAGGCTGATACCACGGTAGTTTCTACAGTACTGCTGTGACCTTTTTCTCTTATATATTGGGACTATTACGTTTTGCACCAGTCTTCCGGTAACCACTTCAGTACCCAAGACAAATTAAATCACGTTGTACAGCAGGCCTGCTACTACTTCCTCTCCAGCCCTTAGAATTTCGACTATATTTTTATAACACTAAAATTTTAGATTTCACTTATACAGGTTGTTTGAAAGATATTTGCAAAGCCTGAAGGGGATGATACCTTAAACCACTTAGAACATATTAAGCTAAACATGTCTTAAAGGAAGTCTGCTTCTTTTTTAATTGAATTTCTAAGGGTTTTTTTAACGCTAAAACCCATTTTTTTCCAATTAATTGCTAAGTGTCCAGTAATAGTTGCTATGTTATTACTTTTTCTTTATGTAATGTGTGATTACTCAAACAAAATAACTTCCAAGGATCTTCATCATCAGAAAAACATTCTACGTATATTAAAGTTAAAAAAAAACCTATTATTTTGGAGAACAAGGAGGTGATGTCGATAGGCCTGTAGATGGACGCGTCATAGCGGTCGCCTTTTTTAGGGATCGGGTGGACCAAAGTTGTCTTCCATGAATTCGGGACTACGCCTTGGGAGTAGGAGTATCGGAAAAGACGCGTTAAAACCGGTGCCAACTCCGGAGCACATGTCTTCAGCACAATGGGAGGGACTCCATCAGGCCAGTGGGCCTGATGGAGCCCCTCCCAGCCGAGTGCGACTTGACCTCCATGGAGGAGAGTGCTTTGCGAATCGAGTGCTGTGTAAACCAAACATCCGGCATGAAGCATTAACATCGCATGATGGTCGGCGGTGTGTTCCCCCCCGTCATCTAGAGTCGAGTTGGACGCAAAGACAGAGCTCAACAGATCGGCTTTCTCCTTTGCGGCATGGTCCAGTGAGTCGTCCTCTCTGTGCAGAGATGGAAGAGATGGCTGACAGAAGTTCCCTTGGACAGGTTTGGCGAGAGACCACGCACGGGTTCCCGAAGGAAGGCGAACTAGCTTCTCGCCAATTCTGCCGATGTGCTCAGACCTTGCCTTGGCAATGACGCTTTTGAAGGACCTGGATGCGGAATTATATTTCTTTTTAAGAGGTATACACCACATCAGCAACAGAATCGGCAACAACGCTGGAATCTTCCGACGAGAAGCAAACCCGCCCCCAAGGATAGGATGCAAAAAAAGACCGCATCGCGACCCAATCGGCCGACCTATAGTGCATTTGGCACTATAGCGGCAAGCTGCAGATCGCAACTGCGATGGGAGCGTGAGTGGCACCGTACTCCGGATCAGACAACGGTTCGAAGAGCCCAGGGATGCATCGACGGAGACCTGCTATCCGTCCGGATGAGAGGTCAGTAGAAGGTCCAAAAGGGAAGGTAAATGATCTTCCACATTTGGGATACGCGTAGGCCAAACAACCAGTTGTGTTAGACCACACGCCAAGGCAAAGTCATACACAGATCTACCCGCATGATCGGTTAAACAGGAACCAAGCCATTCAGCGTGGTGGGCGTTAAAATCACCGAGTATCACGATCTCTGCGGATGGGACCTGTTGTAGCACGGAGTCTGCAGCCATTTTGACGTGGTCGATTAGTCGGTCTATGTCGGCATTACCGCTATGGGACCAATAGAGGCATCCGTAGACGCGGGGATGGTCGTCGCTGTCTACGCACAGCCATAGGATGGACAAGTCCGTACCTTCAAGACTGCCGAGGCGTTGAAACGCTCAGGAGTGGAGTAGTTAGGTCGTGGATGCTCAGCGAGGGATTCTCCAGTGGTGCTGGTACCCTCCTGGGGTAGTCTTTTGTTTAATTCCGCTATCATGTTGATGGGGGGGAAGTTGGTAAACGGTAGAACATTTTTTATTTTATAGTAAAAAAGGTGAAATCGATATATAAGTAACAGCAAATGTAGCCTAATGTTAATATGCCTATTATTTCATTTTCTGTAAAATATTTTTTCTCCTGTTACATTTTATTAAGTGAATTTATTTTTATTTTTTAATTATAAGTGGCATTTTAATTTTGTTTTGTTTAGTTATAATTAATTATTTTTTAATAATAAAATACTAAAAAGTAAAATAAGGAAAATATATTTGGCTATAAACCATACGATTAGTTTTATATTTTAATTTAGTTTTTATATAATTCCAAAAAATAATCGAGATTGATTCATATATTATTACTTATTGTATGTAAACTGTTTAATAAATATGTTAATTTGTACTTCGAATATTTTTCTCTTTCTATTGAAAAATTCCTGTGAATTTCAAATTTTTCCTGTTTCCCTGACAGAGAGCTCAAATTCCGGACATGTCAGGAAATTCCTGTCATCTGGTAACCCTGATAACACCCATCTTTCTGTCAACCTTGCTTTTGTCGGGTGTAAAAAAAGAAAGTTTGATAGCGTATCATAAGCGTTCTTATTTCTTCGTTTTAAGAACGAAATTGTTTTGTTAACGTCGCGAGTCCTTAAAGATAATAATTAGTACAGTCATAAACACAGTTCGATAAATTCTTGTTTTATTCCATTATTGTTTTGTTGAAGCACAATAAAACATCACGTCATTCAATTTGACCCTTTTTAATCTAATCAATAATATTTATTCTCCTAAACTTTTCCTGTGATCTCATCCATATTACGCATTTCAAAACAACGGCTTATCGAACTGTAAACAATGATAGGCACGCGTTATTACTGCACACGCCTCCTTTGAAT